GCTCCAGCAGACAAAGTGTCAAGAGCTACGGTGATGCTGGTGGACATTGTTTTGTGGTCAATGGACAATCCTTGGAGACGTCCTTTGGTCTCAAATATCCTGGTGATCTCAAAAGACGACGTGAGATCTAACAGCATGTTCGGGGTTGTCCTTGGAGGTTTGATATGTCGAAAATGTTGCAAAGTTTTCCTGGCACTGCCTCATGATGACATCCGACCACCACCTAGTTTTGAAAAATCAGTATTGGGTTGGGAAACTCTATCCGCTAGAGACTAAATTTTGCGTTGGCAATATATACACATTAATAATAAATTACACATTTAATCAAAAAGGAGCACCCCAACCAAAGTTAATAAAGAGCATGGAGCAAAGAGTGCAGGGAATCAATAATAAATTACACATTTAAGTCTTCTTGATCTTGCAATGTTAGGAAATAGTCATTAAGTAGACAAATAGTGAAGGAAAAAGCTGATTATAAAAAAGAAGGTGCATGTGCCATGGGGGTTGGAATGAGATTCATACCGTACGGTGGTTTCTTTAAGTTGGTCAAGAGTTTTCTCAATGACGTTTTCCTTCTTTGAGCTCTGAACCAACTGCACACCTTTCATATTAGGAGGATCTTCAGAGGTTCGTCCCTGCAGAGAACATGTCAAATTGATTGTCAGGAAACAAAGAGATAGGAGCTTGCACTCGTGAGACGAAACTCGCAGAAACAATATTCAAATTAACTTAAGAGGGAGTTGATCATCTGCTGCCAAGTTGAAAACTTTATCCGTGACAGAAAAAAGAGAGCATAAAGTTTTTCATTCAACTTGATGCCAATAAGACAAAAGACCATTAGCTTACCTTGATATCCCCAGTTTTTCCTAGCACTGAATTAACTTGGACAAAGCTCGGGACCTATATCTCGCACCCAGCTTCCTTCAACACCTAAACTAAACCATGAAATGATTCGCCCAGTAGTTAAGCACTAGATTCCTTTCAACAACAATTACTCTGAAAGCATCTTAGTCATTCATATATCAGAAAAGGAAGAACCTTTTTGCTCAAAACAAGATAAATCGCACATTTCGTCTCCAGATTTTCCACAGTATACATAACGAAATCAAAAATGGGCCGATTAAACATACCAACTTGAAGGATTCATTCGATTCGAAATCAGACATAATACCAAACGAGTTCGAGAAGATTAAGCACGACAAAAATGCTAAACCTGTTGATCTTTGGAAGAAGGGTAAAATTTATCAACTTTGAAGAAGATTGCGAATGCCCAGAACCCAAAAAGTAGAGAATTACAAGAAATGAATAAAAAAAGTGGAAGGAGAGTGAGGGAAAGCTCACGAGAAATCGTTCGTGCCAAGTCAATTTGCGGCGTTTGACGACGTGAGGAGGATCGGGAAGTGATGAAGGTAAGACGATTTCTTTGAGATCGTAACGGATGTAGTCGGAGACTTTACGATACAGAACCTTCAGCTTCATCTTTTCACTTTCGAAGAGAAAGCCGTTTAAGTTCGCCGATCGGAGCTCAGTACTCAGCTACTTGAGTTTTACCGTCGCTAGTTTCTCTATTTTGAGATGTGCTTAAATGTTTGGTTTAGGTTCCGGTTCAGTCTGATCATGATTGATTTTCCCGGTTTAGTTTGTAGA